ACCTTTTCTTTATTTGGAAAATTCAATCCTATATGTTCACCCAAAGTTTTAAAAAAACAGGTATCCATTCATAATAATGTATGTTTGCATTTATAATTTTATTTCTAATTGTTCCAACAGCAAAATTTCAACATTTTCGATTCTAATACAGTCATATGTACATACATACGTTCATATGTTGGAACGAAAAATTTTAAAATCTTCAATTCTAATCCATTTATATATACATACATACATATATTCCTATATACAAACATACATATATTTTAATAAAATTAATATTTTGTTTTTTACTAAACCTTTTCTTTATTTGGAAAATTCAATCCTATATGTACACCCACAGTTTTAAAAAAAACAGGTATCCATTCATAATTATGTATGTTTGCATTTATAATTTTATTTCTAATTGTTCCAACAGCAAAATTTCAAAATTTTCGATTCTAATACATTCATATGTACATACATACGTTCATATGTTGAAACGAAAAATTTTAAAATCTTCAATTCTAATACATTCATATATACATACATACATATATTCCTATATACATACATACATATATTTTAATAAAATTATTATTTTGTTTTTGACTAAACCTTTTCATTATTTGAAAAATTCAATCCTATATGTTCACCCACAGTTTTAAAAAAACAGGTATCCCTTCATAATTATGTATGTTTGCATTTATAATTTTATTTCTAATTGTTCCAACAGCAAAATTTCAAAATTTTCGATTCTAATACATTCATGTGTACATACATACGTTCATATGTTGGAACGAAAAATTTTAAAATCTTCAACTCTAATCCATTCATATATACACACATACATATATTCCTATATACATACATACATTTATTTTAATAAAATTATTATTTTATTTTTGACTAAACCTTTTCTTTATTTGGAAAATTCAATCCTATATGTTCACCCACAGTTTTAAAAAAACAGGTATCCATTCATAATTATGTATTTTTGCATTTATAATTTTATTTCTAATTGTTCCAACAGCAAAATTTCAAAATTTTCGATTCTAATACATTCATATGTACATACATACGTTCATATGTTGGAACGAAAAATTTTTTAATCTTCAATTCTAATCCATTCATATATACATACATACATATATTCCTATATACATACATACATATATTTTAATAAAATTATTATTTTGTTTTTGACTAAACCTTTTCTTTATTTGGAAAATTCAATCCTATATGTTCACCCACAGTTTTAAAAAAACAGATATCAATTCATAATTATGTATGTTTGCATTTATAATTTTATTTCTAATTGTTCCAACAGCAAAATTTCAAAATACACGATTCTAATACATTCATATGTATAGCCGTTCATATGTTGGAACGAAAAATTTTAAAATCTTCAATTCTAATCCATTCATATATACATACATACATATATTCTTATATACATACATACATTTATTTTAATAATATTTTATTTTTGACTAAACCTTTTCTTTATTTGGAAAATTCAATCCTATATGTTCACCCACAGTTTTAAAAAAACAGGTATCCATTCATAATTATGTATTTTTGCATTTATAATTTTATTTCTAATTGTTCCAACATCAAAATTTCAAAATTTTCGATTCTAATACATTCATATGTACATACATACATTCATATGTTGGAATGAAAAATTTTTTAATCTTCAATTCTAATCCATTCATATATACATACATACATATATTCCTATATACATACATACATATATTTTAATAAAATTATTATTTTGTTTTTGACTAAACCTTTTCTTTATTTGGAAAATTCAATCCTATATGTTCACCCACAGTTTTAAAGAAACAGGTATCCATCCATAATTATGTATGTTTGCATTTATAATTTTATTTATAATTGTTCCAACAGCAAAATTTCAAAATTTTCGATTCTAATACATTCATGTACACATACATACGTTCATATGTTGGAACGAAAAATTTTAAAATCTTCAATTCTAATCCATTCATATATACATACATACATATATTCCTATATACATACACACATATATTTTAATAAAATTATTATTTTGTTTTTGACTAAACCTTTTCTTTATTTGGAAAATTCAATCCTACATGTTCACCCACAGTTTTAAAGAAACAGGTATCCATTTATAATTATGTATGTTTGCATTTATAATTTTATTTCTAATTGTTCCAACAGCAACATTTCAAAATTTTCGATTCTAATACATTCATATGTATATACGTTCATATGTTGGAACGAAAAATTTTAAAATCTTCAATTCTAATTCATTCATATATACATACATACATATATTCCTATATACATACACACATATATTTTAATAAAATTATTATTTTGTTTTTGACTAATCCTTTTCTTTATTTGGAAAATTCAATCCTATATGTTCACACACAGTTTTAAAGAAACAGGTGTCCATTCATAATTATGTATGTTTGCATTTATAATTTTATTTCTAATTGTTCCAACAGTAAAATTTCAAAATTTT